AAAATTATTTTTTTATTAAAATCTTTGATTTTAAGTACCTTTAAGTGCCAAAAGGTCATTCTTTTTAAAAGACAGAAAAGTGAGTTAAAAATAAATCTAATAATAATCAGAAAAAAATAGAATTTTTTAATTTATTTTTTAACAAATGTATGAAGATTTAAAGGATTCGTTGTTTAAATGGGATAATCTTCCTAGGTATTGATTCAGAGGTGTACAGGCTGAGGAAAATCCATAATGGGTTAATAGCAGATTTAGTCAGTTTGTTAGTCTACAACTGTTACGTCAACCACCCAACTTCTGACCCTGTAGATGATCAAAGTTGGTACATAAGTTTAGAATAATTGTGTAAAGTCTGTACTTTGAAAATCCTTCCTACACTTGACTTTCTTGCGGGCGAGTAATAACTTAAATAAAAACAAAGAAAAAAAAGTCGTTTTGATGTGATGATTATGGGATGATGATCGAAGATACTTTCACTCATGATCACGTAATTTTATATAATACGTATAATTTTATTGTGACTTATGATATATAAAAATATGATGTTAAACTGAAGAAAAATTACGTGTTTACAAATTTATTTCTGCGAGAGTAATAAATTCTTTAGTTGTGGAAAATCTGTCTCGTAGAAGTCATAGTTGTAAGCTGACGATCAGTTGTATTATAAAGATTATTTTAAAATAAACGTGTTGAATTCAAATTTAATTACTGTATTTGTAATCGTCCAATGACCTCCTTTATTTGCTTACCCTTGGAATACAGTTTGCCTTTGTGGCAAGACCGCTTGTTTCTCCGGTCACTAATCTACCTAGAAAATTACTGGACTAGAAATTGTCAAGTCTAACATTTCTTGGTTTCTGCAACGTTTATCCAATCAACTCGGCTTACCTTTTTTACACGTGTAATAAACAATTACAATGGTCAAAATTCTGTAAGAACAAAATCGACATGTGAGGAGAAATCACCCGGTGGTGACTTTCCTTTAAATGAAATAAATAATGAGTACTTTTTCAATTTTCTTCATCACTATACTTATATCAGTGGCTATCGGCTTTTCAGCCGACGGGGATGATTATGTGGGATGGTAGCGAAACTACTGAAAGGACCATTGGAATGTGAGGAAAGGGATTGATGGCATTTTTTGTAATAACTTTTCGCTACTTCTGGAACAAAGGGAATATTAAAGTCTTGGTATAGGGCGATGTCAGCTTTATTTTGATCATTTTCGTGTTTTTAGTTCTCTATATTTCTCTCACTTTTTAGTAACAAATATCTTACTATCATCTCAAAAAATTCTCTTCATTTTTGTTACGAGCTGTTTGATTTATGGTTAAAGTTATTTTTATTATTTATTATTCAGATATCGTGAGATGCGGTCTGGTGTGATGTAGGTTTCAGAAAAACATTTTCTTTGTCGTGCCAACGTTTCGATCTTTATTGAGATCATCTTCAGGGCTCAAAGTGTTAGTCTTCTGTGTAGTTGTACCATCCTTGCGTGTCGTTTTGAGAGTGCCTACACGACACGCAAGGATGGCACAACTACACAGAAGACAAACACTTTGAGCCCTGAAGATGATCTCAATAAAGATCGAAACATTGGCACGATAAAGAAAATGTTTTTCTGAAACCTACATCACACCTGACCGCATCTCACGATATCTGAATAATTATCAACTAAGTCACTAATCTCTACACGTTATTTTTATTTATGGTTTCATACATCGACACACCATCCTTACCTATACGATGTCACCGCAATTCTGTCGTCTAACCCAAATCCAAAACAAACAACATGAAACAACAACTCATATTTATTTAAACATTAAAACTGATGTCAAAAGTAGAAGAGGACAAGTATAAATGAGGAAAATGTACCCAGTTTACTTCTTGACATCCATTCAAGTCAGATACTTAGAGCTATACCTAGACAATAGACTGACGTTAAATACCCATAAAAGCTTAAGAAAGGACAACTTAACTTGGTCATCTGAAATAACCTTTAGGGCCGAAATCTGTTTACTAGCTTTATACTGCACATTACTGCGACCATTTTGAACATATGGAGTGAAGCTGTGTAGCATCAATATCTTGGTCATTTAATCCTTCCAATCGATCTGAAAAATCTGATTTTTTTTGGATACCAGGGACCGGAGGAGTTCCCTCCTGAGCACTGCAGCTGAGCTGTACAGCTTATTGTACTTTATACCTGGCTCCATATTTTGGGGGAGTGTTCGCAACATAAATGTGAACTTGAGCTCCCAATGTACTGGTGTTCTTCCATTGAAGAAACTCATTTTTGAAGGGGGTTGGGGCCAAATTCAGGGTCGCTGAGATCCGATCCCGCCCCTTCCATTGATGAGTGCCGTGTCAATTTCTTTCAATTGCGGCCACCGGTCCCCTTACGCGTCAGAAAAGTCCAGAGGCAACGGTGGGGATCGAACCCACGACCGCGGGATCTACTAGCCGAGAGTCTGACGCCTTAACAACTCGGTTACTCGGCTACCGCGGCCCCCACCACAAGTCTAACTACTATGACGTCGATACCTGATCTGTTCCTGCTTCTTAAAATGTCATATCACCGTTCTTTATATCCCGAGAAGTATCCACGTCATCTTAAACAACGATATCCTCGAACTTCTTCGCCTTTAATCCTTCATATCCCGTGCCAGCGTTGGTTATACAGGTTCATATAGATATATTATGCGGCGCGTTCCTTGCAAAGAAAAGTCCAATTTGTAAAAATTCAGTGGTCCGATTTTGCTTCTAAAAATTGTTCACCAATCTTTCGACTCATCTTCACCCTACTGCCGGTTTAAGTAATTGTCAAAACCTCTTGAATATGGTATGTCACAAGCCCTACTATCCTCAACGACCTCGATACCTGATCTTTTCCTGCTTCTTAAAGAGTCATAACAATGTCTCCAATTGTCCTAACCTTACTGCTCAAGCCGTATGTGTACTTTCCATCACGTATCCACTTCACTTTGAATGACTACGTCCTTGAACCTTTTCGCCCCTTAATCCCTCATATTCGGTGGACATACAGGTCCACACGGATATACTGCGGGTGTCATCTAGCTCACCGATCCCATTCCAAAAGTTAACACCAATCTTGCCAACCATCTTAACACTGCTGCCCAAGTTATCAACACTTTTCCATACCGAGAACGCCCAAAACGAGACCTCCTCACCACTTAATCCGTTATACTCAATGCGCGGCATGGTCTGCTTTCTCTTAACCTATGTTACCCGGGTGCAGTACGTGCCATATTATCGATATTGCGAAAGGTGACAAAAACCTGTTAGGTGACCTATCTAACATATTTGGTTATGCATTTATAAATGTACAGGCTACAAAATAATTGTTTCATTTACTGTAATGAAACAACCTCATCAGACAAATTTTAATTCATTATCTCTAAAGCTGGTGATTGTGAAGAGTTTTGAATAGTACACAAATTACTGGTAAATAATAAAAATGTTTTTTATTGTAAAGTGTTTTCATACAATAGCTGTAGCTATTCGCAAGTGAAACATCGCTCTCTAACTTCTCAACCAAAAATTAGGTCAAAAAGAAAATGTGCTATCGACTGTTTTACTTCCAAAGGAGTACAAACAAACTCAATGGAATATATCACACAAAACATTGACGATCAGCGATCATTAACAATTTATTATTGTGATAAGGGGCGTCAAAAATGAAGTAGTCTTACTTTTTTTTGCCAAGTTTTCGGTTTTTTGTTAAGCCTTCCTCAGAGCTTGATATTTAATTAAAAATTGTGTGATGTTTAGTAGGCATTCTCAACACGACAGACAAGATTGACACATCTACACGGAAAACAAACACTTTGATCCCTGAAGATGATCTCAATAAAGATCGAAACGTTGGCACGATAAAGAAAATGGTTTTCTAAAACCTACGTCACACCAGACCGCATCTAATGCCTAATAATCCTTAATTAAATAACAAAAATAAAAATAAAATAAAAGCGGCACGTTCACATACTTTCATTTTTTGTTTTTATGTTCTTACATTATACAATATTAAGTTTGTACAGTTTAACAAATGAATAATTTAACAAATATAAAACAATAAATAAATAATCTATTTAATAAATATTATTTATAGTAAATTATAACCATGACGATGGAATTTCGTAAAGGAGGTTTAAAGAGGTATAAAGTAAAAACATAAGAACAAAAAATGACCTGTGCATCTAAACGTGCCGCTTTTATTTTTATTATTATTTATGTTTTTAATTACGTAACGAGCCCTGAGGCATGTAATAAAAAGCCGAAAGGTTGGCAAAAAAGATAGAACTTCTTCATTTTGGACCACATGCCTGATCCCAAACAGTAGTGATAAATTAGGATTAAAAAAAAAAGTTTATCTTCAAACAAGTATTATCAGAATATGGTGAAAATCGGTTTTTAGATGTGATAATTTTTAAGTATTGATCAGCATGGGGATAAAAGTTTGACAATTTTGTCGCCTATGTAGTGATTATATTATAATTTATATGGATTATACGTTGATATAAAGATATATTACTGGATTGAGAAAAAAATCATTAATTGAAGAAAAAACAATTCATTTAGGAGCGTAAATAAATAGCGGTGTGTTGTAGATCAACTAGAAAATCCGATAATTTCTCATACTTAGAACTTTTAAATATTCAAATTCAAAGTTCACTAAACTTTTCAACCGATAATGACGATCAAAACGAAAATGCGCCCTCCGACTCTCCTACTTTTATACTTCCACGCGCGTAATAAAATTGTATTTGGTAAAATCGGAAAACACGTTTCCTTCCGAATGTGTACTTTATCCTTTAACCAGCCCCTTCGGCTTTAGACACCTTTCAACTTATATTTTCTAAAAAAGCTCGCTCGTTCGGAGTTGGAAGCAGCCGGCTTAGCCGAGGCCCTGGGGCTCATGCGCGTTGCCGGATGGCTGCGGCTCTTTTCCTACACCGAGTCAGTGCTTAGCCGGCGTTCGATCTGAGTCCTCCTCCGCATCGGACATACTTGGGATTCGACGCGATCTTCCTTGGGTTTATCAGTGACTGCACCGCGGCCCAAAAAGCCTAGGATATTTCACGAGGTACGCACTCATAACGGATATTTGCCTATTTTTTAAATCGTAGTTTTTAACAATTTCTTATAAAGTTTGACGAAATATTTTGAATCGAATTTCAACGTTTTTTCATCTCTTAATGTTGGATAGACATGAGAAATGTTTTTCAAACTTCAATCAATTTTAAAAACCAAAATGATCGATTAAAAAAAGAAATTACTTGAATAAAATATCTAATATAAAAATTATTGTATAATAAAATCCCTAAATTAGATCAATTTTTATATCATTCATAGAAACAAATTGGTTCCAAGAGCATCAAGCAACTAACAACACACATGGATTTTACGTGTTATCAGAGATACAATAACTGGTAAATATAGATAACAGCAGATGCATTTTTCATTGTTTATTGGTTTGTATTTGCCAGTAAAACTCATTAAAACTTACGATCAAAAGCACGTGGATCTACAATGTAAACTACTGAAATGCTCCGTTGTTAGGTGACGTGGTTTCATTAAACCTCCTAGTATAAAAATATTTTAATATTATTATTACAATAAAAGGAGATTAAGAGATATGGACCGATATATTTCAGATATGTATAGTATCTATTGATAAATAAAAATAATTGACGTGGGGTGAGTACGCCAATTCATCATTTGTAAAGGAATCAAGCTGTTAAAAAAAGTTTTTGACTAGGACCATCTTTTTCAAAAGTCTATCGGTCTATCTAGAATATTGTGGTACAATCTCTAGAATCAACGTACGCGTGTAAACTGAGAAATATATAAATATACAGAAATAAAGGCAGATGGACGGACGAACAAACGTACATACAGATAATTGGCAATATATCACTGGCGCTTTCAACCTGACACAATTACGCAGAAAACAAACACTTTGAGCCCTGAAGATGATCTCAATAAAGATCGAAACGTTGGCACGATAAAGAAAATGTTTTTCTAAAACCCACTTCACACCAGACCGCATCTCACAATCTTCAAATAATTATGTGAATATAGTTACAAAGATAGAAAAATAAATACAGACACTCATATAGGTATTACATAGATATTAAATAGATGTGTAAGAATATGTACAAATAGTTTGAGGGATATAGATAAATATACCTATAAATAGATAAATAGACAGAGACAGAAAAACATATACATCGATAGGTAGATAAATACATAATTATATAGATAAATAAATAGATAGATACATAACGATTATTAGGACAAATTGACGAAAAAACAAAATGTTCCATCATCACAGTGTACTTGTATTTCTCAGCATACGAAAATCGTTATTAAGAGCAAAACCTGATTATAAATTGTTAATTGTATTCTATCACTAAAGCGGTGTTTTTGTGAAGTTTCTTTCAAACCATCAAACTTAAATAATTTTAAATAAACACGAATTTCTGACCTTGTTTAATTTGGTTTAGATTGAAATAAGTACGCTTTAATTAATACAAACTAAAAATACATATACATAGTTTCAAATAAACAACAAATTAGGAGTATACGGTTTTTGACGTTGAGTTTGTACTTTTGTAGATGGCCCGGTTGGATTTTTCTTGAACCAAACGCTATAAAAAAAACAACAACAAAGAATACTCTTTTTAATGTTTTTTTAGTCTAGTTTCAATTTTGGAGAAATATTATTAGACAGGGTACGTCAGGCCCAGTTCGACTTCAAAATTTCAAATACGATACTAAACAACCGACACTTCATTTTTATGCATTTTAACGCTGAAAACAATGATGCAATCGGATTTTAAATTGGTCAAAAAATGGCAAAGTTATGGCAAAAAGAAACCGTCAGCGTAATTTCTGACCCTGTTTAATTTGGTTTACATTGAAATAAGTACGTTGTAATTAATATAAACTAAAAATGCATATATAGGTTGAAATAAACAACAAAATAGGAGTGTCCGGTTTTTGACATTGAATGTGTATATATATATATACTTGGTTGTATATCCTTTTGTAGATGGCCCGGTTTAATTTCTCTTGAACCAATAACGCTATCAAAAAAAAAACTTTCTTAATATTTTTTAGCCTAGTTTCAATTTTGGAGAAAAATTAGACAGGGTACATCAGGCCCAGTTCGACTTGAAAATTTCAAATACGATCCTATACATTTTTTAAATTTTAGATTTTAAATGGCACAAAATTACAAAAAATGGCAAAGTTATGGCAAAAATAAACCGTCAACCAACGAGGAGCTGAATATTTGTAAAGATCCGAAAATTGGCTCCTTTTAACCACTCTTCACTTGTGCTCAGAGCGATACAGTCAGGGGAGATGGATTGACGTAGACACTGTTTTTTAAATGGCCCCACATAGAATCGTCCAGTAGAGTTAAATCGGGTGACTGAGGAGGCCAACAGATCGGGCCATGATTTCCTATCCGCCTATCCCGGAAGTGACGATTCAAATAACGTCTCAACTGCAAAAAATTATATGGGGGGCATCCATCAAGCTGGAGAATCATTCTTTGTCTTGCGGACGACCATCATCTAATAGTGTTGGTAAAACCTCCCTCAAAAAATTGAGGAACTGAACACCATTTAAATTATTTTCGTAGAAATAACCAACTAATTTATTTCGGAGAAGTCCACACCAAACGTTGATACTGTGAACCACCTGACGACTATAATTGTAGGAAATTATCGGATTTTCCTCTACCAAGTTCGAAAATTCCAATGGTTTAGTATGCCGTAGGTGAACTTGGATTCATCAGCCCATAGGATGTATGGAAGAACGTTTTCTTCAGCCTCTAAATTTGTACAAGGAACGTTAGACGCCTGTTATAATCAGAGTTCCCCAGGACAGATGAGAGCGATACGGCTTGAAATTCTAAGTCCGGAGTACATCTTTAATTTTATTTTTTGAAAAACCTAAAACCCTTCCAACATTTCGGAGAGAAGAATTCGGATTTTAGCGATCATACAGTAAAATATTCAGCTCCTCGTCGAATTTATGCTGCCGGTTTCTTGATGATGGAACATCAACTGATCCGTATCTCCTCAAACTGCAGCAACACGAATAAACGTTTTGAGGCGATGAGGAAATTTCTTGGAGTACAACTCGACAGCACGACGCGCAGTACCACCACTATCAATAAAGCAGTCGTACATATCAACCCGCTTTTGATCGGAAAAATGTGCAGTTCGGTTCATCCTAAATGGAATACTGAATATAACGAATATGTACTAATATAAAATTTATTTACTTCCAGGAATTTTGATTTGTTTTCATAATGCGCGTTTGACAAACAATGACAGAATGAAATCAATAAAGGTAATTAATGTTTAGTTTAGTGAAGAAGCAAATTATTGGAATTAACCACGAAACAAACGACATGCGTTTTTTCCAAACTTTGTGCCATAAGTTTGCCATTTTTTGATCAATTTAAAATCCGATTAGACCAAAGTTTTCAGAGTAAATGTCCTTCAAAATGTTATGTCAGGATGTATAGCGTCGTATTTGAAATTTTGAAGTTGAATTGAGCCTGGTACCCTGTATAATTTTTATCCAAAAAAAGTTCAAATTTGAAATCAGTCTAAAAATATTAAACAATATTTTTTTATAGTGTCATTAGTTTAAGAGAAATTCAGCCGGGCCATCTAAAAAGAACACCCTGTACATAAATTGATTATATTGTAGTGACTGGGAATAAACAGGGAGCTTAAACCAAGGAAATGTGTCGTTTTCAGCCAATCTGAATGTTTCATTTTTTTTTGCTACACTGGATACCAAACATTCATTTATTTTCTTTAAAATGTTCTGTTTTAATCAAATGTTTGACCTTTGATCAAATTAACCTTTCTCTGTTTATTTTAATTATAAATCGTGGTTGCGATTTGTAAAGTTGGTTGTTTAAAACTGAAAAGCATTGGACCAAATGTACTTTCAAGCGAGTTTCTAGTGATTACCTATAATAGTAAAATAACGTAAGGCAATGAAAATAAAAAACAGGATTCTACAGAAAAATATAAACGGTAAATATAATATAAATAATTTTCAATTAATCCAAAGATTAGAATGAACAATTTTTAATGTTAGTAACAAAATGATTCAATTCTTTGTATAAAAAAAGCATTTTTTGTGCCAAAATGTGAATAAATATACGTGTAATACTTATGAAATTGTATTTAACTTTATACTGCAATTTCTAAAACAAAGCCATTTCTGGAACATCGTTGGGTTAGACTTTAATCATCCGACGCCGCATTTTTTAATCTATACTTTCAAGCTGGACTTGATTAATGCATAAAACGATTGTATACATAACATATCACATTTTATACATAAGTTCGCTAGTTTTCGTAGTCCGCTTGACCAATTAATATCTCTCAATTATTTGTCTCAATAATTCAAAAAGGTGGGGTTGAACTTCCCATGTTAGTGTCCGAGTGGATCGAAGTCACGATAGTTCGAGTGGTAGAGTAGCGGCGTATCTAGCCGAAGGTCGTGGGTTCGAATCCCGCTCGTGACAGTGACTTTTTTATCTCAACTAAAAACCTTAATTTATTTAGATTTATACATAAGATTATATACATACATGCGTAAACTAGGCCGGGAGGTGATTTGTATGTTTGAAAATATTCCTCTCATCTCGTTCTAGTTTAATTGCAAATTCTGATCGTAAAAATATATAAGATACATGACAGAAACTAAATATTTTTTTTTACGTTGTAAAAGTTGGAAAAACAATTTTCTTCGACTAGGAAAGTTTATGAAAAAGTTGTTGCATACGAACAACAATTGGGCCCTTGTTGTACTTTTAGTTGTTTCAATTGGAAGAACAAACCATGCTAGGTTGAAAGTAGTAGGAAAAAACTTGAGATGTGATAAATTAATTAAATTATGTAATATATTAAAAAGTTCTTTTCAAAAAAGCACATTTTTAAAAGTGTAATTGAGTTTTACTTTTTTTTAAATTATATTTATAAGCCATTTATGTTTAGCGGTCCAATTGACGATATTACTTCTTTCAATTAATTATTTTTTCAT